TATGGCTGCTCCAAACTGCCCTGCTCCTTAGTTACTGTTGCTATGACCTCTCCAGTTGCCAACAGCTGTTCTGATGATGCAACCTATACAAACGGCTGTAGACCGCAGCAGGGTCTCTACAGGTTTTAAAGGAATGACTTCAGGTTTTAGGAGGCACCACGGCACATTTTTAAAAGCCATAAATCTAAAAACAACGAGACGATACTGAAGCTGTGAATTTTAGAAAAGTCCATAAGTTTAGCATTGATTAGGGTTCAAGTCATCAATACACATGATGAGACACAAAACCGTTTTATACTTGTTGGTAAATGTATTATTGAGAAAATGTTGTGAAATGCCACGTCACAACAGAAACTTTCCCCGGCGCTTTCAATAGCTGCCCACTGCACCACCTGGTGGTGGATGGGTTAAATGCAGAGACTAATTTCGCCATTGTATGGAAACATACAGTGCTGACATTGTGATGACATTATTATTATTATTATTATTATTATTATTATTATTATGAAGTACAGATGTAGATACCACATAAATGCTTTAAAACTATTTGTCTGAAATTCTTCTGCTCATCAGACCTAACGACCTCAGAGGCAGGAAAACAGATGATTCTTGTAGTTTCCCAGTTTTAAATTTAAGTTATATGAAGAATAAAGCTGACATGGTCATGATACTGTTTGAAGACACACCCAGAGGACGTGCACCATTCAGTGATCCTAAACTTGACGTTTATTTTATTTTACTGCAGCCGAGGATTATGGGACATTTTACTAGTGAAAGTACACAACATGAAGGTTTGTGCTGGATGTAAAGGAGCACAACACAGAGCTCTGAGCAGTTACGTACAGCTCCAGATACAAGTGAAAGTGCTGCTGCACATCACGGTTACTGAAGTTCTAAGGTTTAAAGTCACAGAAGTCTGCTTGGATTATTTTATTCCCCATTTAATCTCAAATCAACAACTTTCTTCTCGTCACTTTGATCTTTTCCTCTGAAAAGTTGTTGACTTTATTTAAACATTTTTAACAAGAATAATGACATTTCACCTTTAGTTTCAACTCCTTTACCTGAAAACTTTAAAGCGGACAAAAAGAAACTATTGTTTTGACAGTTTTTCTGTTGCGTGACCGCAGCGTGCCGTGATCGTCCGAGCTGAAGAACGTCTCATCATGATTTAAAAAGCTGAAGGACGATGACCTGTGCTCCGCTGGTTTGTTTTGAAAATGCTACAGATGTTCGTAGAAATAGAAAGGTATGAAAATAAATGACATTTCCCAGAGAACCTTAAAGATCATGGAGGAAAGAACGGATTAAGATCAAATGAAATGAACTCGTTATATTTTACAGTTGTGCGTTTGGCCTGAAATGATTTTCTGTAGCTGTAGTCCCAACATTTTACCTGTAGAGGGCAGTGTGTCAACAAACAAACAAAATAAAACCTGAAGGCTCCAGAGTGGGCTTTAACACATGATCAGTTCAAACTCATCAATCCTGCATTCATTTTATAAACACAGGAAAATCATCTTCTTGGCTGAGGTGCAGAAACACTGAAGAAGCTGGACTTATTCTTATTAATTAACACATTAAACACACACAGCAAACACCTCCCCGACACCCCGAAGCACAACTGCTACACAAGTTTCCACAGAAATATTAATGTTCTCATGTTTTCAGACCAGAACAACTCGTCCATGATGATCCAAAAGGAGTGACTTTAAATATTCAAGTTCATTTTGCTGCAGCTGTCGAACATGACTGCACAGCTGGTCCAACCACATCACTGCTGCTCATCGTTTACCCACAATCCCCTGCGTCACTGCTGTCTGTTCTTTCAAAATTATTCTCTTTAATACTCACAAATCAGAGGAAACTAACTTTTTAGGAGATTCATTAAAACACTTTTAGTTTTTAAACTTTTAACAGCTCATCAACTATGCTGTTTGAGCTGAAACGTGCAAATCAAGGTCAGCTGTGCACGTGCGACTGCAAAACAGTGAGCGTCTTTAAACAAACTACACCGTAGCTTCATCTGAGATGGAAATCATTCTGACACACGTGAACAGTTTACAGTGGAAAACACTAAACTGCTGTCTCTGTTGTTCTGCTCAGCTGATGCTAACCAGCTGCTAACTGCTCAGCTGATGCTAACCAGCTGCTAACTGCTCAGCTGATGCTAACCAGATGCTAACTGCTCAGCTAATGCTAACCAGCTGCTAACTGCTCAGCTGATGCTAACCAGCTGCTAACTGCTCAGCTAACAATCTAGCACATGAACAGTAATTACCGTCAGTGTGCCAGACTAAAACACAAACTGTCCTTGAAAATTTAAAATAATCATTTCAGAGTTGATTTCATCAATAAGCAAGATTTTTTTCACCTTTTCTTTTGGCACAAACATGATCAATAGAGAAACTACGTGATTTAAAGTTAAACCAGCACCATTATTACCCCCCCATCACTCAGTCCATCAGTGGTTCTCTCTGAGGTTGTTGGAGCCTCATATTTCCTCTGGGTTTGTTCCGTCTTGACCTCTAAGCGTCTGTGTTGCCGTTCTCCTCCGGCTGCAGCTGCTCCTTCTCCGTGCTGTCCTGCTGCGGGGGGCGCACTCTCTTAAAGAAGCCCAGCTACAGAAGAAAACAGATGATGAAACGACAACTCCAAAGAGCCACAGAACACATGTGGGAACAGCTGCTCACCTTGTACATGATGAAGATGAGCAGCGCCAGCAGCAGCAGGCCTGCCAGGACAGCCAGAGCCACCACCCAGCCCGGTACCGGCTGAGGGGTGTCAGCCACCCACATCACCGTCATACTCACCTAAACACAACACGAGCAGTGGGTCAACGTGTGTCCAGCCAACATAAGACAGAGTTTCAGACCCGTGTGTGTCTTGTTCAAAATGCATGCTCCTGTCTGCTGATAAAGGTTGAAGTGTTTGTTTTTACTACAGTTGTTTTAGGTTTAACAGTCAAAGATATTAAAATCATGATTTCTATTTTTAGATTATTTAGTAATCTTGGGTTTCATAATAATTAAAGATGTAAACAGATGAGGTCAAAATGCAAAGTAGTCAATAATACAAATATAATTTTATTTATCCTTCTAAGGCTGCTCCCTTCTTCAGGGGTCACCACAGTGAACTAACTCGTATGAAGATTTGGCGATTACTTTGACGCTGGATGTTCTTCCTGAAGCAACCACAGATCACCGAGCTACCACAGCCTCTGTGTGAAGCAGAGCTGCTGTCTAGGGTGTCTGGAGGAGCAGATGGTGGGGGTTAAGGACCTGCTCAATGGCCCAGAGTGGGTAAATGAGGGTGGAGGCAGGTGTGGGTGTTTCACCCACAGATATCATATAATCACAGATATCATACTGTAGTGAACTAAGCCTCAGGTCAAGTCCTGGCCTTGAGGACCTTCCTGGGACAAGAACTGTATTTCATTGATTTGAGTCCAGAAACACAAGATTAAGTTCATCCAGAGACTTTCTCTTGTCCTGCACTGATCAATTGAAAGAACACTCTTTTTTATTATCATTACTATTTTACAAATTTCTTGATAATCAAAGTGTGTGTAGTTCAAACCATTTTTAAATGTTGAAGTGAACTACTCATTTTAAATCAACTGTGAAACAGTATTAGTGATTTTTAATCCTCATTCAAAGTGGAAATCAAATTGGAATGTGTTACGGAGTAATTCATGCATTTTCTGATCTTCTGTCTGAAATGAGCAAGTT